CAGCAGATCGCCGCTTCGTTCGAGCCACTCATCTGCCGTCCGACCGCCGACCGTCCGCTGCTTCGCGAGGGCACCGATCTCACTCTGGCCGGTACCATTCACGTCGACGACGACGACGATGACGACAACGTCGGCGCCGACCGTGCCAGAACCGGCCGCGACGCCGCCGCGATGCCTGGCCTAGCATGCTCCGGGCCTCGAACTGTCGCACTTCACGAAGACGCAGGCAACGTCGCCCCATTGAACCGCAGAAAGGACGACAGTCCCCGGCTCACGGCGGCTTGTCGTCACGAGCTCGGTCGGGTTAGTGAAAAACTAAGTTACCATAGTGACCACAGGTGACCATTAGTGGCCTCGTCGATAGTCACGATATAAGGCATTCCCAAAAACATTTTATCCCACTTCTTTGTGGCCCAATCAGTTTCAAAACATACTCACTTGGAAAATGAGTAGTATGGTTGGTTGTTGTGACAAATTCGTGATTTTTTGAAGAGTGCCTTCAGTCAGTCCAGATCGCTTAATGTGCTGACAGAATGATTGTGAGTTGTTGAGCTGACTTGCATTTCGAGCGAACGTGCTTGGTGAAGAGATTCGAAGTTCGGTTCCATCAGAAGACGACGGCCGATTACTCTTGACCAGTCGTCGATTGGCTTTACTGGAACATTCTTGTTGAAGCCATTTCGTTCGTCATATGACGAAGAGCATCGTGGCAGTGACGGTATCATCTTTACAACCATAGTCAAGCTAACGAGTCAAGAGAATTAACCGGCTCATTCATAAAAAGCTCTTTGATGAGGCGTACAATTATTTGGTTAGTTCAAGTCATATGGCAACCTCGTGAATTTCCCGCATCAAATGTCTCTGCTTGTCGATGCAATTTACTTTCATTTAACACTCTTCCGAAAATTCTATAATCTTAGATTTTATGATAGTCTCGACATACTACTTAATTCGAATATAGTGACATTTTTGATCGTAATTGCAGTTAAATGTTCGCTTCACCATAAAAATATGATATTGAAACTGCCTAGTTTGCTGTGAATATTACTTTTGCTCCGTGATCGACTGCAACTCGTGGTTATCTGGCGTAGTTATAGAAGGTCTATACTGCACTAGTACAACCAGGGTTCGATTCCCGTTGGGGCGGCTGAGGAAACGCAGACCAGATCGAAACTGCAGTCGGGAGGAGAAT